GCGCTCGCGCGGACCTCGTCGAGGACGTCGAGCAGCTGCGTTTATCGCTTTTGCGATCGTCGAGGTGCTTTTTTACGTAACACCTGTCATCCTCACGCCTCCTTTCGCCACTGAACGAACGTCCTTTTATCCCGGACCCGTTCCTCGACGACATTCCCGATTCCCCGGAATCCTCGCTGTCTTTCACGTCGTATATTGTGCCATAACCTCACTTTTCAACTTTGCGTGATGTCTGGTGACTGATGCCTGACGGGCCTGACGCCTGACTGGCACTGAACGACTGAACTGGTGATGTCGTATGTCGTAGTCGTCGTAGAACGCATAACCTCGTTGATTTATTCTTTATTCCCTTGCGCGCATAACCTTTTTAACGGGCAATATCTTTGATACTTGACATGCTTTGCCAGTCTTTTACACATATTACAAAATTGAAAATGGTGTATGTATAATACGATACTTGCCTCTGGCACGATCGCATGTCGCACGTTGCACGTATCGCATATACCTGATGAAATATTTCTAATTGTAAGCACGTGTAGGTCTATAACCTAATATACATTACATTGCACACATAGATAATCTTTGTTTTGTTTTTACCGTCGATCAATATCGAACGAATCTACTTATTGTCGATTATCGTCAGAGTCATGACTCATTCACTCATGAGGTGTTTGGTGGCGCGCGAGCCGCGAGCGCGAATCGTCTCGTCGTCTCGTCGTCTCGAGATTATCGCGTCGCGTGTCACAATAGCTGCGGTCCACCTACAATTAAACTACGAATGCTTCGCAGAGGATTATTCCTCTTCTCCTTTCTTTCAGTGAAGAAAGAAGGAGAAGAGGAACTCTTCAGAGCATTATTTGTAGCATCAAATGGATTGCAGGCAATGCATCAGGATTGAAGACTAGCATCTGTGAGGTGCGAGGTACATACGTGCGAGATGGAAGGTATGACCGGTATGACCAGGTACGACTGTTACGAATTTTGTATGTACGAAGGATTATACAGAGAGAGAGAGATAAATTGAAGATGAGCGCGCGCCAACTCATCGTACGATATTAAAGCCATCCATAAAAATATAATTTTTAACCAACAATAATCATAAATATCTAGACACAATACATGCGCCTCGAATAAGCCAACGTGATTTAACTCAATATCACCGATTACAGACTTCCGATTGCCTTATATATCATATCGCGCGCCTGTTGATATATCAAGATGATTGATATATTATAGAAACTTTGAGCCTCGAAATTCGAGGTATATAATATATACGTGCGGGCATGGCACATGTGTGTGTGTGTGTATGCGCGCTTTTTTTTTTTTTTTTTTTTTTTCCCTCCAAAATGTGTAAAATGAACTTTGTTTTGTCGCGCGCGCGCGCGCGATAAAGCGCGACTTGTTTTTATCGTAAATCGTAGCACCATGCGTGGCCGCTGCTTATCGCGATCATGCGCAACGTCATTGAAACCGCATCTCCACAGAGATGTAGCGTAGCGCAGCTTTGTCAGCTTTCTCGTAAAATTTTTTCGGCAATATCGCTTATCGCTCGCACGCGCGAGTATTATCGCCAATACTATTTCTGTATTATAACTTGCAGATTGCCTTGATTGTTATCATTAATCGTCCGTGCTTGAAGCGTGAAACGCAGACTTGATCTCATCAATAGGAAAAATAGCGGATTCAGCGCATTATCAAGATTTTAAAATATCTACGAAATTTCGAGAGGTCTTTTTCCCTTTCCCTCTCTCTCTTTTGTCGAGAGAAATCCCTTCCTCGGGAACTCGCGAACGGGGCAAAGTTGCGCTCTCATCGTCTCGCGTTCGATAAGCCAAGATCGGAGATCGGAGATCGGAGCTAGACGGGGTGTAACATCATACGCATTGCATATATGTAACATGTACCGTTACTACCGCTAGTCAAAGTCAAGAGACTGTACATAGCAAATAGCAACGATAAAATCGTAGCGGAGTAGCGGACTCTCTCCAACTCCAACTCCAACGTCCACATCGCCATCGGTATAGGCCGTAGGCGGATAGCGGCGGATGCCAAGTGTTGGTTTCTATCGGCGTTATCAACGCCGTCAGCAGATTAGGGTCGCGCCTTGAGACTTGAGACGTCGCGAGTCCATCGTGAGCCGTGAGCCGTGACGCGACACGCAACCTCTTCCCTCTTCGAACGTTCGATATTCCAACTGTTCTTCAAAGCCTTGTTCGCCGTGGGAGGATCAAGATCGGTGAACGTTCCGCGACGAAGAAAGACAGGTTCACCAGCCGCGTCAATAGTCGCCAAGCGCTACCAGGCGCTACCAGACGCTACCATCGTTATCGTGTCACGTCCCTGTCATCATCACGAACGAGGATAGGGACCGAGATATTGCGCGCGCGCGCGCGCGAGCGCGCGAGACCTGAGAGGCGTCGAAAATCGTAAAACGGAGCAAGAACCGAGAGAGAGGGAAAGATATAATAAATATTTCAGAAAGTTGCCATGAATGCCATGTTCGGCAACGCCGTGCAAGCGAAGCTGGCGTCGATGGTGCTGATCGGCGCGGGCAGCTTCGTCGTCGGCATCGCGCCCGCTTGCTTCGTCTCGCGAGCTCGCCATCTCCAGCGGAAGCTGCTGCTCTCCTGCGCCCTGTGCTTCGGCGCCGGGGTCCTCTTAGCCACCGCGACGCTTCACGTCCTGCCGGAAGTGCGCCACGGCCTACCGGATTACGCCGAGCTAGTATTTTCCTGTGGCTACCTCCTACTGTATTTGGTCGAGGAAGGCGTGCACTATTTCTGCCGAGGCGGTCGTCACGGACCCGAGACGGCCGCGGCCGAGACGGATTCTCGCTCTTCCAGACTTACAGATTCCAGGATTGCGCGCGAGCGAGGGTGGGTACGTGCCGAACGAGACGCGAGGGCGGAGGGTGCTATGTCATATATAAAGTTATAACGCCATAACGCCATTTGGCAGGTTCTTCTTCGGGAATCGGGAATCGGGAATCGGCAATGGGAAACGTCGTATTCACGACGCAAAGTGTGGCAAACGCGAATCACGCATTCTTCAAGGCTATTTTAAAATTAGCGCATCTCCATTTATTTCTCTATATTAATTCTACGTTCCACGTGATACGTTACACGTGGCGACGACTGCAGTCCCCCTTATCGTCCGTTATCATCGAGACAATGCTTTTATTCACGATAAACCACGAACGTCTCAAGGCTCATCGTAGAAATAGAAAAATTACCATTACGTTTGAATTTTTTTTAACTATAATCTATACGTATAATAAATATTTGTCTAATACCTAATAGCTGCAATATCGATATATGTACAAAAATATAAGTACGAGATGCAAACGTTTCATGCTAATGAGAACAAATAATATAACTGTGATACGTATGCAGCTTCAGGCTTGAATGCTTGAATGCTTGATATAAATATGTAATATAATATTGTAAACATGTAATGAAAAATCGTTCACGATCGTTGCGATCAGAGATGATACGTTCATCGAGAGGGTTTTTCAACCCCATTATTAAAAATTCCCCATTATTAAAAATGTGTGTTATTATAATGTACTTTAGGATGAAATCTCGTTTGAATAACTTCAACACCGGCCTTCCCGTCGCGTTGTTGCAAGAGACGACGCGTGCGCCTACGTCGCGATGAATTAATTATTATTAATGGACCTGAAAGACCTGCGCATAATGGTGATATAACGCTAATAGAATACGACACGATTACTTTTAACTACTCGGCCTTGTTCGGTCGAATGGAGTTGAAATTTGTCGAAATAAATTCTGACGTTACGAACGGCAGCGATATGTGCAATGTACGTCTAGTCGTGCAAACTGGACGGTCGTCGCTCGCGCAACGCGCAACGTCCAATGTCCACGCACACCCGAATGAGCTCTCGATATCGACTTGAGATGTTGTCTAGTCTCAAGATTGCCATCAACACTCGAATATCTTTCTATCCGCTGCAGTAAGCGTCGCGAGGTCGCGTACACTCGAATTTTTCGTGATTGGCGCAATATTTGTTCACCCGACCGTTTATTTATGCTCAAGTCAGCTACTTGAAAGCTTGTCCATAAATTACTCGTGTGTGCACGCGATATATATGGCAAGATGTCTTAAAACCACCGTACAACTCCCGAGACAACTCCTTTACGTGCGACTCGAAATGCATTAAAATGCACTTTTCTCTTTCTCTTGATTGATCTTATTCGTAACGATGTAACGTTACGACACGTGACAAGTGACACGTGACACTCATTAGGATATATGTTGACGTTAGAAGTTGAAGCATTTGACGAGAAGATGGAAGACGCGCGATTGAATATGTTGAACGTTTTTGAAATTTGTAAACGCGCCGCGCCGCCGATTTTCTCACCACTTCTCTCTCGTTTCCCTGCATCTACCTTTGCGTGGATCTCAGTTTTGTTCCCCTTTTGATCGACGTACGTTTATCTTGAATTTCAGTTGTACGAACTGTCGGAATCACTCCCATGGTGTCGGTTACAACGCCACCGCGCAAAACAGCAAGGTCTACATGTCCGAGGGCGACGTGAGGCTACCGCTCAACTATCGACAAAATCCTCTTGGTAATGGTAATGGCAATGGTAATGGTAATAGCGCTAATAATGCGTGGACGTTTAGTAGTTATGGTACGACGCGATGCATCGCGTGTGACTGTCATTCGAGGTCATTGAGTGAAGAAAACACATTTTTGTGTCATGGAAACCACGGCGAGCAGTGTACCGATGCCAACACCGGTCTTGCCGGTCTCGCCCTTGCCCTCACTGTACACGCCGTCCTTGAAGGACTCGCGATAGGATTGCAGACGAAAATTGCCGAGGTATGTGGTATACGTACTATCCCGAATCCCGCGTACTATCCAGAGTAATAAATAGTAACGAGAAAGGGACAACGTAGTGTTATGGGATACATAATAATAGCACAGCGAATATGGAGCTGCGTCGAGATTGTTTCCATGTTGAATTTGCATTAACGTTGCATGATTTTTAAATGTGTGTAACGTTAATTATGGGAAGAGGGGGAGGGGGAGAGAGAGAGAGAGAGAGAGAACGGAATATGTATTATCTCTGCATTACATTGCATATTTATGAGCAGCAAACCGAAACGGCGTATTATACAGAGTGTATCTCATAACATTCGTGTGAGACATCTCGTAATCGTAATCTCAATTTTATCGTTAGATTTTCTAATAAATTTCGATTTCGTATGCATACGATATTACGTAAATACGCTTTTTTCAGGTGTTGTTATTAACCGGAGCGGTAGCGTCACACAAGTTTGTCGTCGGCTTTTGCTTGGGGCTGGAATTAGCAGGAGTCAGTAAATCAGTCCCTAGACTAGTATTTGCGATATTTCTATTCGCCATCGGATCTGTCATCGGAATCGGCATCGGCATGCTGACATTTCAGGTGAGAAAAGACTCGCGTCTCTCTCTCTCTCTCTCTCTCGACAAATTTTTATTTGAATATCGTCGGACAGCATCAACTTACGATTAGAAGAACATATCTAATTCTAATAATTTTATTTCGAATGCACTTAGGTGGATACAGATTGGTCAAAGGTGGCATTGCCGATTTTGCAAGGCCTGGCAGGTGGAACTTTGCTGTACGTTACCGTAAGCGAAGTTCTCCCGAGAGAAAGAACGAGATGGCACAAAAGTTCGCGCAGATTTGCAGGCATTTTACAATTTCTCGCGGTAGTCGTCGGATTTGCCGTCATCTTTCTACTTAACACGTACATGGGCGAGTGAATCGATTGTTATATTCCAACGTTAATTACTTAAGCACTGGATTGTCAGATGAATCGCAAATACATACCTACTTCGAAATCAAGTCACTTCGGGCATGGTGCTAAGCACACCGCGTGTATACTCTTACAAAGCTGTGTGATGTATGTACACCTGATTAGGCGCTGCACCGGAACATTAGATACGTTGCCAATCAAGTGTCCGACATTTCTCTCCGATTTCTCCGAATCTGAGAATACAGAAGCATTGTATAGAATCTTTATAATTGCGCCGCAGGTCTTATTTCTGCAATCCTGATAATTTAATATTTTAATAATAATCAATTTGATTGATGTAAACAATACGTACAGCTTTATTTCTACTTTATTGGTTTAGATATAACGAAATTAAAATCGCGATCCAACTTTTTAAACGCAACATCAACGATGAATGATTTATCAGTAATTTACGAGTTTTTGCATTTTTAAATATCGTCTGTATAAATAAGAACGTCCGCAATACGTGGACAATTTATTTTATAATATAAGATAAGTTACGTTCCGTTCCGTAAAATTACGCCACGATTCTTCAGAGAATCTTATTCAATGTTCTACAAATATAACGGTAGCGACGTCTTTGTTGCTTTATCGTCGATTAGAAATGTTACGTACCCCGAGAATTGACAAAATAGCGAGAAATGTCGAGCTTTTTTTTATCACGAGGCACGGGAAATCGAAAGCGAGAAACAATATTTT